AAAATTAGAAAAAAAGTGATTTTATTACATTGCTATTGAATGTGAAAAATACTGATAACTTCTTTTACATGTGTAGAAGATAGGTATTTCTTTTTTTAAAAGTCCCTTATGGGTTATTGATGCCACCAGAGACGCTTGGAATCAAGAGAAAAGCAAGTCCATCTGCATCTCCAAAGGTCCCAGTCCTGCATTTCTAGGATGTGTAGTTTTGAGCATGCATGACTTGTAGAACCAACCAGTTCCTCAAAAAGGAACAATCAACAAGTACACTAAAAAGCCCAGAGCAATCCTCTGAATGGGGGGTGGGGGGGGCGGTGTGCTAACACAGACCTTCCTCCTGTCCTTGCTCTCAGTTGTATTTCAGAGATTGATTGGGATGATACAGACTGGGGTTTCCACTGGTAAGAGACACATGACCCCTGTATCTGAGGGATCTGCTGCTGCAGTGAAGGTAGCCAAGCCCAGAGCCCTCCAGATCACAATCCCCTATTTCACAGAAAGCCCTTTGTGTTTGTGCACCTTAAAACTTCAGAGAAAAGCTTCAGAAGCACCTGAAATCGATCAGAACCTTCAGTCTGTTCAGAAAGCAAAGGGGGCACACAGAAACCTACCACCCCACACACACCCCTACCCTTCAGAAGTCCAGCCTTAAAATCCTGGTGGAAAAATTCCCTCTTTTGTTTGATCTACTAACATCTGAGCACGACATGTTGAAAAAGGACAAAGGCTGCAGGAGCGTCAGAATTAAAGCCAAACCTTGGCAACCTTCTGGTTTTTACAATCAGGGTATGTTGCCTACAGGCCTGGATGAAGATCAAAAATATTTATTATGGATTTCTTGTTTTAAGTATAAAAATTTCCTGTAAGTTTTCCATGCTGGCTCCAGCAGATTAAGACACACCACCCTTCCCTAACAACTTGCCCAAAACCTGACGGATCTAGATAAAAGGAAATTCATATGACAAAGCTTCTGTAACACAGATCATTGACTGTAACTGAGCAAGACAAAACATGGTTGCTGAAACATTCCTACCCAAATCAAGCCAAAATAAGGAGTTCTAATAAACCAAGTGATCTCACTCCACACATCAGTGCATATACACAAAGTGTTCAGATTGCATAGGGCTCTCTTGATGCCAAACACAAATCCACCTACTTCCAACACTTCACAACAGGGCATTCCCTATTAGGGATGGAATCTGTTCCCTGAGTGATAGAAGAGGTGGAGTGGATGTGATTTAAAATTCAGTCACTGAAGCAGAAATTTACAAAACAAAAAAAATACAGACAACTTTTAAGTATTTTATCTTTGTCGATATCATTTTACAACCTCCTACCATTTTGCACTCTCTCTGCTGGTTTTTGGGGGACTCCTACAGACCATGTGCTCCAGAAGGGCTCTCTGGAGATGTCTGGTCCAGCCCCCTGCCCAAAGCAGGTCCAGCAAGGGATCTGCCCAGCCAAGCTGGATCCTCTCCAAGGACAGAGATTTCAGAGATTCTACAACCTGTTTCAGTCTTGGAATACTTTTGTTTCAATAGTGTTACTATTTCCATTAAAATAACTTCAGAGAAAACTAACCCATAGCAGGCAACTCATCAATATCTGTTCCTTTCTCAAACACACTCTCACAAGAAATACTGCAGAACTGGCAGTGGTCTGGTTTGCCCATCATGCCACTCATGCCTGCAATGGAATAACACATTTTTTTGTCACCAGGGTGCAATTACCATCAGTTTTCAGGCTGCTGAGCACCAGGGCCACCTGCACCAACAGCTGAATTCAAGCAGAAGGTCATTGCCAGGAACATAATGGAGAGCAAGAGGAAGGCAAAGAATGAGCTCCTGCCCAACTCTCTGGGAACAGGAGTCATGGAACTTCTTTGCACAGGCTGGGGAAAAAACTAAGCAAACAACTGCCTGAAAGTAACAGACATTTGGTTATTGCTGACCTGAGCTGCATAGTGACTTAGTGGTTATAACTGTCAACCTCAACTGTGACTTCAACAGCA